TTTTAGGGGATTTTGATATTCACTACTACTAAGAGATGATCCAGACATTGCATTGTTGTGACAAAGTGTATGTTTTTTGTGAGGCCTGGGAAATTTTTACTGAGGCCTCATGGTGGGCGCCAAATTTTCTTGCTAAACACTATTTGGAGAAACCTCCCTGAGGCTATCCAGGTGAGGTTGCAACCATCCTATTTTATTAGGAGGAATTAGTTGTCCCTTTCCTCATTGGGAAATATTCCTTTTATACTAGTTCACTCACCAAGGGATATTTAAATGACGCCCCTTCATTTCCTATGTTAAAGCCATCTCTGGTAATGTTTGTCGTCCTCTTTAACTCCCTAGTAACGCCTTTTCCATCAATTTCTATAACTCTCGTGCAATCATGGAGATGTTTTATAATCGTCGGATGTAACTGCTCACATTGTCTTCTAGCCCCTTCAAGAGACTGGATCCGACTTTCACGTATGACTAAGCCAATATGAGGCCGAACTTGACTTGCACAGGATCATGTTATCCGATTTTTCTACTGTTTGTACTCGATTTGCAATAGCTAGACCCTTGAGAATTTCATGATGTACAGAATCCAAAAATCTTTTATGTTCCTACCATGAATGAATCCCCTTTTTCCTTAGAAACCATATTAGGCATTATTTGAGCAAGTCTATCTACTGAAGTGTTAGAGATGATCTTGAATTTGAAGTTTCTAAAGTTATAGGTTTGAATTTTTGCAATGAATCAACTTATGTGGTTTTAGACAAGAGGAATTTGGCGCTAGCTTTAAGTTAGAAAGTATCCAACTAGAATTAAAGAACTGAATAATGGTATTGTAGACTTCTTTGTTAATGATTTTCAAATAGGTTTGAAAGAAAACTCCTCTAAAATCATTAGGCCAGGAGCACTATTTTTGTTGAGACTGAAAACAAAATTGGTCATTTATTGTATAAAAGGAAGAAAAATGAGCAATTTATTCATGGTGGGATCAATAAGAGTTAAAATAAATTTATCAATCAAGTTAGACTCCTAAAAAGTATCTACAACAAAAAATATGTTAGTGAAATAGTTGATGGCATAACTAGCCATCTTTGTATGTTATTAATGTTAATCTCATCATTCCTTCAATAGGAAATGATGTTTCAAGAGTTTTTGATCTTTGTCATTCTCTAGAAAAAAATGTTGTGTTTCTATCACCTTCCCTGTGCCACTTAACTCTAGATTTATTGTGCCAGAACATTTTTTCCTTGGTCAAAATTTTTTCCAGCTCAATTTGGGCTATCTTTTCTTAATCTCTAAGGGACTCATTGATACTAACAATATTGATTTTTTATTGAATTTTGACTAGTTTATCAGTTGAAGTTTTCATCATATTATGCGTGTCTCCAAAAATTTCCTTGTTCAAAGTTTTAAGGTTGATCTTGAGGATTTGAAGTTTTTTTTGTTAAGAATGAACATACACGACACCCTACTGTAGAAGTATCCCAAGTTTTGGCTATATATTCTTTGCATTGATCATGTATGGTTCACAAGCTAAAAAGTTTGAATTGAGAAACAAATTTATGAGGTGTGAAACTAACATTAAGCCATATAGGAAAATAATCTCACTTGAGCTTCATAAGAGTAGTAGCGGACACAAAATTGCAAGAGATTATCCAACTTTGAATGCATTTTTTTTGTCCATTTTCCTTTCAACTATAGAGTTAACTGCAAACAACCTCAAACCTAAGGACTCAAATAAATTTTGTGGTAAATGTTCTACGATAATCCATGACTCTACTAAAAACCAAAAGTAGTGTTGTGATGTTTTAGGATATTCTTAAGTACCAATCTTGTAAGGGCATTGACAAGACCCCTTGTATTCCAATATAGGCATTTCATGGAGAAAACTCATTGGTACAAGTCTTTGACCTAGTTGAATACACATTTTTAGATTTGAATTTTTTTTCTTAACTTTTTTTTTTTTTTTTTAGATTTAGATAAGGCTAGTTGGAATTTAAGATACTTAGCCTCAGGATCTATTTTCTCCTCACACATTTTCTCCTTCTTATTGAGTTCAACTAATAGCTCAAGAGTTTTCAAGAAATCTCACATTCTTTTTCTAATTTTTTTATATACTCCCTCCTGCTTCATTAGTTTGAGTCACATCAACAAAATTTGAATCATCAGAGTTATTGTTGTCATTGGATTCCACTTGTTGTCTTTGCAAAACTTGATTGGCATCGTCAGTTTCTCTGACCATAATATGCTTTTTTATTACATTATTAACATATAATGGAGAGTCAATAACATGTTCGACTATTGTCTATTTGATTACACCACTTGCTTCCCTGCATGAATTTGATTGTTTTGTGTTTCATTTACCTCAATGCAGATGTCTTTCAACTTTTCTCCCATAGCTACGTAGACTTTGTTGGAGTCAATCTTATTTTTTCTTTTGATTTTGTCAAGATCAGGCCCAGGTTTCCTTTTGAAATTACTAGCGGAATGTCCAATTCCACTATAATTGGTGCAAACTTCTAGAATTCTTTCATATTCAATTTCCACAAAAGCCCTATCAGGTCTAAATCTCACTTCTTTTGTTAAATCTAAATCTACCACACTCTCACATAGTGACCGAAAGACTTATCAAAAGAAGGTTTATTTGAGGTAGAGTCAATGCTACTAAAAATAACAAAGATGATTTTGGATCTCCAATATTCTTGGGAGAGGCCATGAATCGTAATCCAAACATGAGCAGAGGTTTGATGAAGATTTGAGGGGATAAAATCTCTAGTCCACGGGAACAACTTAAGAACACCTAGGCTAAAATTCTAGGAATTTAAAGACTTAATCATACACACATCTTCCAAACTTGAAAAAGAGAACTCAAAGAAACCATTTCCCTAAGATGTAATGCCTTATTTTCTAATAGATTTCCATAGAGACTAAAGTTTGGAGTACAAGCTAACCACTGTGAGTGTAATAAATCCTTTTGGCCAAATAATTTTACCATAAAAATTATGTTACATGCTTCCAAACCAATTAAATACTCATCTCACCCTTTACAAAGGATTGGGAGTTGACTAATGAACATGTTACAAACATTGTTCACTGCTTTTACGAAAGATTTAGAGATTTTGAGAGGTGATACGAAGCTTTTATTAAAAGAACTTACTTGAGGTTGTATCGTTGATGAAAATAGGTCAAAGATGGGAGGATGGAGCATTGAAACAAAAAGCAATAAATAAGGAGGGGATTTTTATTGACTTCTTGATTATTATTAAGTTAAAAAAATTAAAACTAATTTTATAAAAATATAAATAAAATTATCAAAGTGGTAGTTTTATAATTTAAATACAATATATATTGTATAACAAATATATAAAACAATAAAATAATAATAGTATTATGTTTCATATATTAATGTGGACATCAAAACACATTATAGGATAAAATTATCATATCTCTATTCTATATGCGCCAAACATATTCTTAAAAATCTAATTCAAATTTTAAATTTATAATTAAGTTTATTTAGTAAAATCACTTTTTTCAATCAACAATGATAGAATTAAATTAATGAACGATAAAAAAAAAAAGTTAAAAAAAAAAAAACACTACAAATCATCCTTATAGAACGCAATTCCACTTCATTTCCAACATTACTCACAGCAACTAGAACACTTGCAACTTAATGTCACACTTACTTACATTTTTACACTAAAACATCGCAAACTTATATTTTCCAAAGTTTCTCACACAACCAACGACAAATTTATGTAGATTCTACTTTACTATTTTTATCGTGTGTCCATCAATCTGGCTTTTAAACCTTTAGAACAAAGAAAAAAGTTTCCTCAAACTCCAAAACAAGGACAAACAAAACCACATCTCTATCTACCTATCCTCAGAACCAGGTTTGGTTTCTCTTCGATCTCCACTACGTTTACAACAAACAAACATGTCCATAACAACCTCGTACCTCATCGATTCATCCTAGTAACATCTTACTCTCACTTCAAAATAAAACAAACATCACTATGTCATGAATCCAGGTTTCAAACTCCTTCATTCAGATCCATATGTTTCTCATGAAAATTCTTCAACATTACCAACAATTTTGCAAACCAATTTTTATTTTCCTTCCCATAGCGCCACCCTGCAAACACCATCGTTTTCTTCTTCAACCCAAAATAATAACATAAATATATTTTTAAAACAAAAAAAAAAAAAAAAACATTTAATTACATGCTTCCCATGAAACCAACCATGTCTCTACAAAACCACACACAAACACAAAAACATGTTTTTCTACTCTTCTTTCTCCCTGTCTTCATTGTTCCTATTCCACACCTCCATTCTACAAAATCAAATTCTATTTTTTCATACCAAAAATAAAATCCCAAAATCGCTAATAATTAAAACTCCAAATTCCATGGAACAAAAATATCTTTTCCAATCTTATTTTAAATCTTTTGCAACAAAAATAACTCTGCAAGAAACAAGAAAGAAAGAATCACCATACTCATTCTCTTTCTCATTCATTCCTTTGAATTTCGTTACCAACACGTGACACTCAAGTAAACTCGTAACTCATCCCATAAAAAAGAAACAAAAACATTGATTCAATTCATTATTAACATTCTTAATAACTTCATTCTCGTTACTTTTCCTTCTCTCATTCCTAATTTTCCTCTCTATAATTATTATTATTATTTTTTATGAATTTTTATTTTTTTCAGACACTTATTTTTTTTTTTAATAACCTCTTCTAACAGGTTACAGATCGCACTTTCTTCTTTCTTTCGTTCTTCAATCTCAAATTTTTCTGCGATCGATCGATCCATCTTTGAATTCAATTTCGCCGACATTTTCATAGTTTACTTCAAACCTTTATTTTTGTTTTGTTTTGTCGCTGTATCTCTTATTTTCAACTACTCTGTTTCTCGGAATTCAATTTCGTTTTCAATTAGGGTTTATCTAATGCGAATTTTTTAGAATTTGGTTATTCGTTCTTTCTTTTGAGAATGATAATTAAGAAGAATCTCAAATCGGAAATGCCGCCTCGGAAACGGGCTAGACTCGGTAACTCGGAGGGGAACGAGTCAAGGTTGACTCAGAAAAACAAAAAGAAGAAATTTAATGGGAATTATCCGTTGAATCTTCTCGCCGGTGCAATTCCTTCCAGCTTTACTGGATTACTCGGTGCCGCCGTTGCAACCACCGTGGCGTCGTCGGATAACGGGTTTTCGTTGGATAATGGAAAACCTGGTGTTAAGAATGCGGCGAACCGGCCGCCGTTGGTTCGGACTTCCCGCGGCCGGCTTCAGGTGTTGCCGTCGCGGTTTAATGATTCTGTTATTGTGAATTGGAGGAAGGAGGGAAGAAACAACAACGCTGCGGCCGCTGATACTAGCTTTCGGGAATTTGAATTTGATGAATTTGGTTTCAGAAATTGTGGTGGAAAGGGGAAGGATGGGATTGGGAATGGAAATGGGAATGGGACGGCTGCTGGCGGCCGCAACCGACCTCGCGGGTATTCGGTTTTGTGTGAGGAGGTGTTGCATAAGAATTTCGGTGTTGCTGCGGGCAAAGAATTAAGTTTGCGTGAGATTTTTGAAGAAACGAAGTTGAATAATGAAGTTTTGAAGAAAGAGGAGAAGAAGAAAGAGGGGTTGTTTGGACCAGAAGATTTTTATGCAGGTGATATAGTGTGGGCTAAGGCTAAGAAGAAGGAACCTTTTTGGCCTGCAATTGTCATTGATCCTATTTATCAAGCACCTGAGCTTGTTTTGAGATCATGCATACCTGATGCTGCTTGTGTCATGTTTCTTGGCTACTCTGGGAATGAAAATCACAGGGTATAGTGTGAACTAGTACTAGTTTATCATGTATATGGAAAGTTTCTTTAATGTGTCTTTTTTTTTAACATAATGGCTATTTAATTTGTGTTTATATATGGTTGTGAGCAGGATTTTGCATGGGTGAAATATGGAATGATTTTTCCATTTGTGGATTATGTAGACAGGTAGGGAAATTTTGGATTATAGTTGTTATTTTGATTTTTCTTTGTGGAAGTGTTTGTGTTGTGTTTACTGGAAATGATGTTACTTTGTATTAGGTTTCAAGAGCAGTCTGAATTGAGTTACTGTAATTCCTCTCAATTTCAAGTGGCCCTAGAGGAAGCGTTTTTGGCTGATCAGGGGTTTGTAGAGAACTTGAAAGAAGATTTAAATGCAGTGGCTGGTAATAATGGTTGTAGTAATAGTTCTATTCTTAAAGTCTTTCAGAATGTAGCTGCTTCAAACAAGAAAGCGGGTGGTCCTGTTCAAAAGAAGGTAAGTTAGCTTTCATGGCATGTTTTCTTCTGTTGTGCGTTGCGTTTAAAGGATATTTAAGGATACTAGATATAATTTGCAACTGAAATAACAATTTATTGATTTGAATTCCTTATGTAGGATTTTTTTGAAAGAGAGAAAAATGCGCGACTTTGTGCAGAATGTGGATTGGACGTTCCTCTCAATATGTCGAAGAAAAGAAAGGATATGACTCCTAGTGGTCAACTCCTATGCAAATCATGTGCCAGGGTTTGTAACTTCCTTTTTCTTCTAACAGTTTATATTTATGCCTGAAACGGAAACGTCATAATTGAAATAAACTGTATTTGTTGTAAAAAGTCATATATTGTTGTCTTTTTACAGTTAACAAAATCAAAACATTATTGTGGCATATGTAAGAAAGTGTGGAATCAATCGGATAGCGGAAGCTGGGTGAGTTAGTTGAACCTTGTCATCTATTTTAAGTATTGTCTTTTTTAGCTCATAAGTTCTACTGTTACGGTGTTAAAGTTTCCCCCTTCCGGGTGTTTGCCTTGAATTAGGTCCGTTGTGATGGATGTAAAGTGTGGGTGCATGCTGAATGCGACAAAATCTCCAGCATCCTTTTCAAGGTTTATCCATTATACCTCACGCCTATGTCTAATTGTTGTCTCTTTGTGGAATGAGAAGCCCTTTAAGAGATGTTATTTTATTCTGATTTTTATTATCTGTTCCTTGTAGAACCTTGGAAGCAAGGATTATTTCTGCCCTGCTTGCAAAGTGAAGTTTAATTTTGAATTATCGGATTCAGAAAAATCTAATAAAAAAGTCAAGTAAGTTTATAGATATGTTCTTTCTTTTTCTTCACACCCCCTATTTGTAGTCTAACTTAGTAATTCTATGTAACTTTCCTATGAAGCTAATCTCATTTTTTAAGAGTAAACTACGTCTTCCTTTTTAACATATTACTTTAGGTTTTTGAGTTAACATCATTTTGTTTTGCTTCTTGTAGTTTTTTTCTGACTAAAGTGAATTTTTTGGTATAGATGGAACAAAAAGAATGGGCAGCTAGGACTTCCAAAAAAGGTTACTGTTCTATGCAATGGCGTGGAAGGCATATATTTTCCAAGCCTTCACTTGTAAGCATTAACTCCTTCAAAAGAGTTTTCCATAATTTGCTTTTCCTATCTTTATATTATCATCATAGTTTTTGTCTGTTATAGTTAGTCGTCACATATAATTAGTTGATTTGTTTATAAATATGTGGCAAATAGTAACAGATTAATACCTTTTTTTAGATTAGTAATTAAAACAACTAACCTCAGTCCAATGCTATCTTATGTTCTCTTAAAAAGGGTGACAATGGCATCTCTGGAATTTTTTTCGTTTTACTAAAATGAAAACCTGATGTGAATTTTTATCATGAAGCTCACTGTGATTTTTTTTTTTGCCACAAAATTATGTCCAATGAATTTTATTTTCCGCAGAGATCATTTCTGAATGATTCAATACTTCATTCTAGTTATAATATTGAGTTGGTTTTCCATGTTCTCCTGCAGAGTTATGTGCAAGTGTGGTTTTTGTGAGACTGAAAAACAAGCACTTAGTGAATGGGAACTCCACACAGGTTCCAAATTCAGAAACTGGAGAACAAGTATTCGGATTAAAGGATCCATGATATCGCTGGAACAATGGGTTCGTATATGACTCTATATTATTTAATGTTGGTGCATAATATTCCTCATCTCTTTGCCCTACAAATTTCTACTTATTTACTTGATTACTGTTCAAGTGTCCAATCATTTGCTTTCTAGACTTGTAGCATCTAGTTCAATATGATACATTTAATGTACTAATAGGCTGGCTATATATTTGATTTACCAATCAGTATCAATATTAAAAAATTTCCATCTCATCATCGAGATCTCATATCATATGTAACGTTGCTACTATGCATCAACAATGATATTTTATTTGCATTATGAGGTCTCAGTACCAAAATGGCAATGATACTGATCTGGTGATAACCCATAGGAACTTATGTTTCTTTTGATTTACCATGCGGGGCACTTAGAAAAAGAGATTCGGGTTGGAGACGTATGGCGGGGCTAGACCATTATTATGAGACATAAGTGTAATTATTGTAACCGATACAATCTGTTTTGACTTCTCAGATGCTGCAGTTGGCTGAATTTCATGCTAAAGCTGTAGTTTATGTCAAACCTAAAAGACCATCCACAAAAGAAAGAAAACAGAAATTGCTTAACTTTCTGCAAGGTACCTTTTAAGTCTTTCCCTTTCTGTATGGCTATACAATAAGTTTCTTAGATAAATTTCTAAGAGCGATAATGGTAATGGAAACTATTGTCTCTGGCAGACAAGTATGAACCTGTTTGTGCTAAGTGGACTACAGAACGATGTGCTGTATGTAGATGGGTTGAAGATTGGGATTACAACAAAATTATCATCTGCGTCAGGTAATATAGCATCTTCATTTTTTTATAAATATTTAAACAATGAAAAATAGGGATTAGAAAAAGTTTCTGCACAGGTCTAAAGATTGTGTAGCTGATAAACATAGTGATTTCATGAATGTTTGAACAGTTAACAGACTAAGTTTATAGTGTCGTGAAATATTATAATGCAAAGCACAAATATGCACCCTGCCTTAAGCTTTTAATTACATGTATGGAGTTTTGTTATTTTGCAATTGATATAAAAAATGTGTTATATATTTTATAGATGTCAAATAGCCGTTCATCAAGAATGTTATGGAGCAAGAAATGTTCGAGACTTTACATCATGGGTTTGTAAAGCTTGTGAAACACCAGACATCACGCGAGAGTGTTGTCTTTGTCCTGTAAAAGGTGCGTATCTTACACAATATTATAGATATGATGTATTGTATTTGTCATCTAAATTCTTGTAACCTTATATGCATGTATGAATTAATCTTGCTTTTCGTTACCTCTTTTGACTGTAGAATTTAGGATAATATCATGTAGCTTTGGTAATGTTGTTTTTAACTTCATTTTGTAATTAGTGTCTATGATCTTAATACCTGAAATTTATTGTTGGACACTCAGGTGGTGCTCTAAAGCCTACTGATGTTGATCCATTATGGGTTCATGTCACTTGTGCCTGGTTTCGACCTGAAGTATCTTTTGCTAGTGATGAAAAAATGGAGCCTGCTTTGGGTATCTTAAGTATTCCATCGAACTCTTTCGTGAAGGTAGGGTATTTCTAACTCTTTTTTTGTCTGTTCAGGAAATGTACTTTATATCTCTTTTCTAAATAAAAAGTATAGTTTGATAGTATCACTACTAATGTGTGTATTTTATCATAATAAATTATAGTAATAACGGTGTCTGCGCCTAATTAATGTTAGTCACCAATTGACGTAGTTTATTCTTTGCATATTTCACACTAAGTTACATACATCATTCACTCATACCACATTATAAAGATGGAGTGAGAATACTTGAAACAACCTAGGCTCCCCTGCTCCAGTCCAGATTTCTTAACATATGAGTATTATTTAGGCGTCTCTTAGTTTTGTTCATTCTGATTCAATCTAAAGTTTGCATTAATTCAATTTCAGATTTGTGTTATTTGTAAGCAAATCCATGGCTCGTGCACTCAGTGTTGCAAGTGTTCCACTTATTACCATGCCATGTGTGCATCAAGGGCCGGTTATCGCATGGAGGTGAGGCTTTACTTGAATCAACTTGGCTATTTTTTGCTGATATGTTCTAATATGTACTTTCATTTAATTTAATTTATGAGATATACTACTTCTCATTATTTTTCTGTATCATGGCTGGCTTTAAGTTGGTAGTTTTCATTTATCATATGGATAATTTGTGATCCATGAAATAGTTATTGAGTTGTCTTCTCTGTAAATGCAGTTGCATTGTTCGGAGAAAAATGGTAAACAGACAACAAGAATGATTTCTTATTGTGCTTATCACAGGTATGAAGTCCTTAATTATGATAATATTGTTTCTCCTTTCTCCATTTATATATTGTTTCCTCTATGGAGTTTGCTTTTTACAAATTACTAAAAAACTTCAGTGCTTTTGAAATTGTATGGGTATGGGCGTATTTGAGTTCATCTTGTTCCTATTTTAGCTGTTCAACTTCATGATTTCTATATTTCTTGCAGGGCTCCCAATCCAGACACCGTTTTGATTATACAAACTCCTCAAGGGGTCATTTCAACTAAAATCCTTATCCAAAAAAAGAGAAAAGTCGGGTCAAGATTAATTTCATCAAACAGAATAAAGGAAGAAGACACTCCTCTAGCAGATAACACAGAACATGATCCATTTTCTGCTGCTAGGTGCCGAATCTTTGTAAGAATAAACCGCACAAAAAAGGTAACTTGGAAACTATTTTTGTTCTGATGAATGTTTGTAAGATAATCAACCGAACTTTGTGTCTTATATTTTTTAATACTTTTGGAAAATCGGCCATAGTTGTGTGCGGCCACTCTGTGCTCTGGTATTGGCCCACTCCGTTTGCCTTTAGTGTGATGGTTTATATTTCCATGCCTCTTAGAGATTTGGCCTTTGTAGTACTGGTAAGGCTTGACTAGTCCTCACCTTACATTCTCACTTGTATGTGATTGTGATGTAATGGTGAAATATCATGCTTGTGGCGTATTGTTTTGATTCCTCGACTTCCATGCTCGCTTTTAAGGCCTTGTTAGTCACCATAGCCTCTAATATTCCCTTTGATATCTTTATCAAATCTTGTAAAACAACAATACATTTCTCATCTTCATTTTTTCTATTTTCCAGAGAGCAGCAGATGAAGCCGTTCCTCATAAAGTGAGGGGTCACTGCCGTCATCCTCTAGATGCAATTCAGAGATTAAGTCCATGCAAAGTAAATATTTTACTTTGATATAAATGGGATTTTACTGTTCTTTGTTTAAGCTTGAGTGTGAGGTTTAAAGTGTATTCCACATCCTCCTATTTTTTCACTCTTTCGTTCAATTAGGTGGTAGACGAGTCTCGAACATTTTCATCATTTAAGGAACGCCTTCATCACCTACAGGTAAATCATCCTTTTTATTCGCGGTGGTTTATTGGCTTTGCTCATCGTTTTTCTGATTGTATTATGGATTCAATTGCATGACTCCAGAAAACCGAAAATGAACGAGTGTGCTTCGGTAGATCAGGCATACATGGGTGGGGCCTATTTGCACGAAGAGTTATTCAAGAAGGAGAAATGGTATGATTGTTAAACTCAAATTATCAAATATGAAAAGATTATACTCAAATGATCCAATATGAAAAAATTGTGACAACCCATGATATCTTTGGCTATTTGAGAATATGATAATCTTTTGACACGCTCTATTCTATTGCGCTTTGCCAAAAGATTTCAATGTATGCTCATCGATAAAGCTGTTTCTAAACCACATAGAGCTTGCTAAATTGTAATTTTCATTTCCTTCTATCTATTTTTCCTTTTTGAGCTGCTCTTGTCTAGAATATTCTCTGTAGTTGGTTTAGGGGTCAGATGTGAGACATAGTTTAATTCTCTTTTGCTTCTATTATGGTATGAAAAATGGATTTAATATTTGCAGACACATAACACCGTGATCAAATGATCCATTGTGTTTCTGTTTTCCATCTAAAATCGGTACAACTTTTATAGTAGAAATAATCCGCATGATTTTATTCAATGCAGGTCCTTGAATATCGTGGCGAACAAGTAAGGCGCAGCGTTGCAGACCTGAGGGAGGCACGGTATAAACTAGAAAGGAAAGACTGCTATGTAAGTTACTTCCCCTCGCCTTCTCATGGGTTGATCCTCTTTTCTATTTTTCCCCGGTTCCCGCAGCAGATTTTTTCTAAGCATCATAGTCATTAATACTTTATTAAATTAAATTATTCTCATTTCTTTCTCTTTTGGCAGCTTTTCAAAATAAGTGAAGAAGTGGTAGTTGATGCAACCGACAAGGGAAATATAGCGCGGCTAATTAACCATTCTGTAAGTCAACCTATCTCAAATTGTACAGTAGATTGCTCACTTTAGAACATTACTGGTGATTAGTCCTTTCCTCTTACCCCATTCTTGGTTCATGTCAATGCAGTGTATGCCAAATTGCTATGCAAGAATCATGTGTGTGGGTCATGACGAGAGCCGGATCGCACTCATTGCCAAGACTAAAGTATCTGCTGGTGACGAGCTAACGTATATTCCCTATCTATGCTCACTTCTTGTGGGGCATGCTTTCCTGCGTCATTTCAACATGCATTTCGGAGTTAATCATCATTTTGGTCCCGAAAATTGAAATTAACAAATTCTGAAATGATTTATCAAGGAACTAATCATTATTTTGACCAAGAATTTTAAATATCAGAGATCATATTAGAATTTCATTATACTTCAGTGAAGAAATTGCATAATTCTTACAGTTTCGTTATATTTTAACTATGTTTATTGTACCTGGCAGGTATGACTACTTGTTTGATCCTGATGAGCCAGATGAATTTAAAGTTCCATGTTTATGTAAAGCTCCAAACTGCAGGAAATTCATGAATTAGGATATGATTATTCAGATTATGATGACAATTATTGTTTCTCCACAAGGAGCACTAACCCTTCTTCACATCATCAATGGGAACCTCACAGCTATACTCAAGTTGTAATTTTAATCAAAGCAATAAGAAAAAAAGTATAGAAAATAATAGCTGTGGCAGAGTTTTTCTTTTTGCCCTCAAATGCTTAGAGTTTTAGCTGTTTTACATTCATGTATAGGTTTAGCAGCTTTTGGCTTTTGGAGTCTTTGTAAATGTGTTAGAAATATTACATTATTTTCTTAATTTAATGCTAATTTATTATTTCATGCCTCATTCTATTTTGCTTATGTCCCTTGTATAATTATTGCTTGAGAAAGTTCTCTTTTGCACCGTTGAAGAGATTGAAATTGCTGGATTCACATATATGAAAAAACTTATATACAATACTTAGGTATTGGTGAATAGAAAAATAATATCTAAGATTTAAAAATAATTTGTTGTGCTAAAATTAAATTTTAGTCTCTAAAATAAGTTTTGATATTAATTTAATTTCCTTTCGTTTGGTTGTTTGGATGATGTGGCACTGATTGACATAGCTAGGTTAGATAGAAATAATCCTCTCATCATCATTTCAACTAAAATATGTAAATAATTTATTCTGTAACATTAAAAGTTAAATAAAATAAAATAAATATTTAAAAAATTATGAACAGCCCTAATATAAGATATTTTATACCCGTTGTTTTGTTTTGTGATAGTTAATTTGCATGTCACATAGATGCCAATGCAATATTTCACAAAAGGATGAAACATATACGTCATGTGGTTTGAGGCTGAATTGTTTCGGGACTGCCTACTCCCAACTCAACGTCGATAAATTTAGAGACAATTCGCTTAGAATAATACAAAATTGTTAGAATTAGTAATTAAACTTAATTGAGAGTGTGAATAAAAATTGTGATAATGGGTTGAGTGAGTCCAATAGTTTAATGAAAAATTAGTGAGAGTTGGTAAAATAGAAAAATAGAAAGAATAGGGTTAGAAAGTTGGTAGAGAGAAAAAGAGGCAAGAGGGAAAGAGGAGTGGAGAAGAAGAGGAACCCAAATTCAAGAACTCATCGGTAAGAGTGGGTTTTTACATGGTTATGGGATTGTATGATAGTGTTGAAGGATTTAAATGAATTTAATAGATACAAATTATAATCAAGAATAATTAGAACGGTGTACCTTATAAGATTGAAGAGACGGTTGTCGAAGCTTGTGAGTATGAGAGAATTACTACCCTCATTGCCGTTTAGGATTTTCAGAGTAGTTTAATTGTCTAATGGGGAGACCTTTAAATAGCTAAATGGCTGAGGGCAGAGACCTCTCATTGGGAATGATCCAACCCATTACGGTCCATTCAGGCACAAAACCCAATCAAACAATTCATCTATTTAGTGTTTAATAACAATAGACCATAATATAATTAATTAATAATTAACTATGTCAATCCATATTTGATTAATTAAATAATTAATCTAACAATCTCCTACTTTGATGACAATAATTAATTATTAAAAATATTGATTCTAGTAAATTTCAACGCTGCAGAAATTGTATCTGATAGGGAAGACAAATCATACATGTTAAAACTCACAACTTTATATATAAAATGATGACTTTAGAATAACATATTTAACTTCAGAGTAATATGTTATAAAGAATGACCCAAGCATATGAAAATGTTATTGATAAACTCCCACTAACCCAAAGTATCATAAGACTTACTCATGTGTATAAGTCTATGGTTAGTGATTATACTAATGAGTTTTAAATTATAGGTCATAGAATATCCACATAGGTATAAGAATAGTAATTACATATAGGAATACCCTATTAACAGAGTAATTACATTTAATTATAAGTACCTTCATAACACAATATCATACTCGATAGGAGTATTGATATTTACTTGTACTTTCATATTATGACCCGACAAATATGGACTATTGAAGATATAATAACACAATATTATTGCACGGTAAAAAATTATTGTGTTTTTTCAATATCAACTTAAACATCAAATTATGATGTTTCTTGAGATTAAGAGAATAATATATATCTCAGTATAACAGAATAAGACTTATAATTATTTTATATTTTGAAGTCCTTTTAGAATATGTCATATTTACAGTACGCGCAAGAATATATGACACTATGAGAATAATAATCCAAAATTTTAGATTATATGATTGTGTTCACATGCAATCCACTCCCACTAATCCAATATGATAAGGATTTATCAGAGGCCACTAATATTAAATACTATGATTGAACAACGGGGGTGCTAATGTTATTTTTAGTGCAAAATTATACAGAGAAGTGGTTCTATAATATATCATCAAACTCAACCACATATTTTGCACGTCAATAGAATATATCTTTATTTAGATAATTTACATGAAAGAATATGATGGTCCTATAAAAGATTTACCATCTTTTGAGTGAGATCAAATTCATAACTCGCTCAAAACTCAAATGCTATAAGTATAACTACACACATTTGAGAAACATATTACATTATACGCAGCGGAAAAATATGAGACTTTAATCAAATTTAATATTGAGGATATAGCATAAGACTAAAATATCCTCAATATAAGTCTTTATAAAATAATATTATATATTAAACAAATAATATTTGTTTTTGAAATCTATATAATTGACATGTTAAATTCTTCTACTTGATAGAGAATAATAGTTGAATTATTAATATTAGAATTTTGAAATATTTAAACAAATATCCAATTATTTTCTGTATCACACAATAATCATTCAGGAAACGTCACACCGATAGAGTATGTCCATCACTCACATAATGGATAGAGAATTGAAATCCATTTTAATAAAAAAAATTATTGGATTTCATAAAGTATTACATATCTTCAAAAAATATTTTTTTTTCTTAAATAATACTTTCAACAATATGAAATAAGAAATATAACAATGTATAAATATTATGTCATCAAAAATTCTAATACCGACAGGGTACTTGAACTATAATTTACACAATCATAAATCATAAGTGCATTAAACAAAACAAATTATACTAATAATAAATACCGATAGGGTATAATTATTATCAATATAATATTTATTATAACTAAAATTAATTTAACAAAATTTGAATAAATGTACCACAATAGGTGAGTTACAATCATGCAAATTAAGATTAATTATATTTTATTCAAAATAGGAAAATTTATATAATTGTATCCACGATAGGTGAAATTACAATTATACAAATTAATATTGATTACTTAATTTTCCATAATAAAAGTCATAAAATAATAAGATTTCAATATATATATATATATATATATATATAAAATTGCATAATTTTAATTTCAAAAGGAAGTGAATAATATTTTAAGAAATTCCTCCTTGTATGCAACTACTATATAATAATCAAATACAATTAACCACGAAGAGAATGTGACATTTATCCTTGTGAGTAGAGGTATTAAACTTTAATGACTTTTAAGATATTATAGTATCATCTCAAAATGATTCATAAACAAAGAATAAATCGTTATATCAAAATATAAAACTCTATTTATAAATAATCATAATTCAAGGATAATACAATTTAATTTTATTAAAGAATATCTCAAAATCATTATATATGAAAATTTTAAATATATTTAAAATTTGAATTAAATCAATCATTTTATAACATAGTATATTTAAATATTGGAATATACCAAAACATCAAAATAAATAGAATATCTAATACTATTTATTTGGCATCAAGAGAGTTGTTAAAGCTTATATAGAAACAAGATTATAGGTCAATATCATATTCACTAATATCAAACAAAAGTATTTAAAAATATATTGAATAAAATAACTAATTTGCCATTCAAAATTCATTTCTGCAACGAAATATCTAAAATATGTTCCGTACATAATCTTTTAATCAACATAATAAATATATCATGATTTTCAAAGTTAACAAAATAATTGAAGAGATCATACAAATCTACCACTTTTGTATGTTAGAGATTATAAATAAATCAATTAAGTAATATTCTGCAAAAACAAATAAAATATTTGATATTATTTATTAAGCTAAAAAATAGGATCAACTTTTCAAACTCTTCTAAATAATTCGCATTCCACCCACAATAAAATGCAATTATTTAGGAATCAAACCTTAAAAATAGGTGAGACATAACAATATTTTACTAATATACACCTAAAGTATAATATACCTTGATTCTAAATATGAAATTTAGATATCAATAAATTTCTAAAATCATTAGATCAAATTATTTAAATATTAGATCTAAATTTTTTCTAATTTTAAGAAAACCCATCATTTATATTCAATATGAATTATATAAAATTAGTGCATCAAGTTTAATTATTTAACTTGTCAACTCAAAACAAATAGAAACCATACACTAATTCAAATCATATAATTCAAGCGATAGCTATAAAACGTATCTATGGGGCTCTGATACCAATTGAAGGATTTAAATGAATTTAATAGATACAAATTATAGCATATTGTTTAATCTAACAATAATCAAGAATAATTAAAACGGTGTACCTTATAAGATTGAAGAGACGGTTGTCGAAACTTGTGAGTATGAGAGAATTACTACCCTCGTTGCCGTTTAGGATTTTCAGAGTAGTTTAATTGTCTAATGGGGAGACCTTTAAATAGCTAAACGGCTGAGGGCAGGGACCTCTCATTGGGCTTAACTGAATAGTCCAACCCATTACGGTCCATTCAGGCACAAAACCCAATCAAACAATTCATCTATTTAGTGTTTAATAACAATAGACCATAATATAATTAATTAATAATTAATTATGTCAATCCATATTTGATTAATTAAATAATTAATCTAACAAGTGTATGATGGATAGTATCACATTTAGGATAAAAATTCCTAATTTCCATAATTTTAAAATTGATGATTACATGATGTATGATGGTAGGATCCTTAAATATGGGTTTTAGGCTGTTATAGC